GAGTCTCAGGCTATTTTTTTCTTCTCATACTCTTATGTATTTCCAAAGCATATGTGTGTTTTGTATTTTTGAAAACACTAATGATATCTCGCACTACTTTTTACAAAATTAAACTTATTCCTAGTCTACTCTGTTTTCTGTGATTCTAATTAGGTAGAAAAGCTCACCATTGACATGAGATCTTTATCTCACACAATGTATCACTGTACATCTTCAAAAGTTGATGATTTTTAGTAGGTGCTGTGAACCAGTTTAATTAATTCCGTGAAAGCCACATTTTCAAAATTTTTTGGAATCAGCGAAAATCACAAATATTTTGCTGAGATTGTCAAAAACAGGAAGTCGCAGTCGCTTTCTTGAATACTCATAGATCAGCAAATCATAAAATTTAACATTTAAATATCTTAAAAGAGTACGGTAAGTGCTGCTGATTAAATCATCACTCAGGCCGTAATTTGAGAATGACAGGAACTTACAGAGAAGAATAAATCGTAAGTGACAAGTGAAGAAACCTCTAGAGGAACACTATTAAATAGTGAGTTTGCAGTTTAATACATATGTAAATTTGAACAACTCTCCTGCAAATCCCTGCATGTATTGACTTTAAGAAATGGGTTTTACTGTGATATTCCGCGCACATACCAACACCTGTTGACCTGAAATTGCACTGATGCAGAACGAGATAAAGAAAAAACTTTCTGCAATGTCAACCGCACATTCTTGTTATTTTGTCACCAGAACTAGTGAACTCCTTGGACAAACTCATAATTATGTATATAGATCAGTCTTGCAAATATCATTCGTAAGATTGGCTCAAAACTGATTTATTTCCACACAATTCTGAACTGTCAGCATCATTGAATATCAGTATCATTTTGTCGGTTATGATATTCCTGCGATAAAATCAGAGAATTTAGACCACTGATGAATACAGCGCAAAAAAAAAGTCGGCCAAGGAAATACAGGTTGGACAATTTTGCGGACTATGCATGAGATTGGAGGTGAAGCAAGTGAAGAAAGCAGCTACAGGAGATCATGATAGGTCAAGTGAGATGGTTGATGAAGCTTCAGATATGCCTAACAACTGACCATGGTTATAGGGTGATAAATTTGAATATATTATTATTACAGATAAATAAAGTTTTTCCAAAAATGTTACATACAAAATAGTTGACGAGGATACTGTACTTAATGGTCAAAAATAAGTTCTTTAAGACCCTTGTTAAACATGTCAAAGCCACAGATCTTTAACACAACAAAACCAAGATTCATTTGAAATCTGCCCATGTCTTAGAGCTGAGAATTTTATTTGGCCACAGCCTACTTGTTGTGAAAGAGGTGCTAAACAAACATGCATAATCCAATTCAAGAAGCTGCAATGTACTTGTGTCAGCAGGACAGCTGGTTAGTTAAAATACAAACATGCATAAGAGCTGTACAAACACAGAGATTGGATTGGGGACCAGGGCAACCAAAAGCAATCAACTAGTTTCAGAAAGGAGAAATGTGTTGAAATAGCAGCACTGCACTGATGACATACTAATACTGTTTTAGAATATACACTAGAACGAAGTACCATATTTTACTCGGATAAAAGTACATTTGGAGAAACGACAAGTGTGCGATTGTAAAAAGAAATTTTTGGTTCATCTGCACTTGAAATATAAGTTAATATAAGT